GCTCAAGCGATCCTCCTGCCTCAGCCTCCCAAGTAGTTGGAACTACAGGTGTGTGCCACCACACCTGGCTAATTTTTCTATTTTTTGTAAAAATGGGGTCTCGCCATGTTGCTCAGGCTGATCTCAAACTCCTGGCCTCAAGCAATCGTCCTGCCTTGGCCTCCCCAAATGCTAGGATTACAAGCGTGAGCCACCATGTCTGGCTATAAAAACATAAAGTTCTTTAGTGTAGAGACTAACTAGAACAAAATAATCCTGAAAAAGGAAGGAAAGTTAAGACTACAGTACACCCTGGATATTTGTGACAGACAACACCCCAAGATAAATATGGAAACAGCATTATTCTATAAGCTACAGATGTCAGAGTCACTAACAAATTCAATATATTATTTTAAAAGTCATGCCTGAAAACCTTGTCTTTCTTCCTATTCATTTTCATTACCAGCATGCATTAGTAGCTGGCTTCATTCTTAAGAAAGATCTTTGTTTCCATAATGACTTTTCCCACTTTGAGAGGTGCAACTGAGTAGAGAACAATTTGTTGCAGCACTGGATGCAGATGCAGATACTGGATGGAGGGCTAGACCTACTCATTATCAAAGTTAATCATCCATGCATAACAGCTGCTCAGTGTATTATTTACATTTTTACTTCAATATAATCACAAATTAGTACACCTAATGAACTTTTATATTCACCATCCAGTATTTAAAGCTAACAAGTTAAATCCATGAACAAAAACCCAAAACACAGCAAAAAATACACACACACAACCAAGAGTATGTTTATATTTGAAGAATGAATTAATCTACTAATAAATGACAGAACATATACAATAAATCATGACCAAAAATGTATTTCCTAAGAGTGTTTACATTCATACATTCTCATTAGCTCTATGCTTTACCAAAAGCTACATAAGGTTTTTTTAAAAAATTTAAACTGCAACTATATATATCACTGTTAGAATCACTATAAATTAGTGACTAAAATACTCCTCATCCCAACGGAGAGAATGGGGGAAAAAAAACATGAAAAGTTGGGAGGCATTTTGAAGGTGATACTGCTTGACATTTAGATTACAAATGTTGAGAAAGCTAAGATCATAACTTGGAATTTTTAAAAAAAAAAAAATGGTGAAATGAAACATTAGTTATTTGGGGAGCTTTTATAAACTTCATGCACTCCCCCCCTCCAATCTCCACTGACGCTCCTAGCTGAGAACCATCCTTTCAGATTTCAGGGAAAAGGAATATGTCATCAAAGATATACCATTCTTAGCGGTGTGATTCATATTGTATATATATGTTATGAAACTATTACAGCCCCTAGAGTTTGAAATGGACACTGTAACTCTAAAACAACAACAAAACAAAATATAAAAGTTGGAACCTGCTTTCAAAGATAATTAACTCACTTTTTGTGAAGGAACTCTCCAGCTGCCACAGCAACAGGGCGATGTGCCGAGTACACCAAGTGGTAAACATTTTCACAGTCTTCGTTGGAAAGAGCTTCTTCGCTTCCACTGAAAAATTCAGAAGGTAACACGTGAACCACAGCAAATGTTTATTTTCAGTTCTACCTTTACATAAACTTTGTAAAGTGCCTTATAAAAGCTCAAGGCTCCTACTTCTCTCTCTTTTTTTTTTTTGTAAGAGATGGGGTCTCACTCTGTCACCCACGCTGGAGTGCAGTGGACAGATCATAGCTCACTGCAGCCTTGATCTCCAGGGCTCAAGCAATCGTCCCACCTCAGCCTCCCAAGTAGCTAGGACTACAGGCATGTGCCAGAACACACAGCTTTTTATCTTACTTTGAAAGTAATTTTTCCCTTTAACTATAAAAGATAATCATCATATAAAACTCAAAAAACACAGGTAAAACAAGAAAATAAAATGCCCACAATTCTTCTACAGCTTAATAAAATCTGATACATGTGGGTAGAACAACATACTACTGAACTATCTATAATTAAACTGGAAACTATAAAGGTAATGAAAATATTTATCATTAATACTACATGTTCAAATTTTTAGGACACAAAGTAGTACTTAAAGATATATTTATTTCTTTAAATATGATTATTAGAAAACAAAAAGCAAATAAGCCACAAGAAACTAGTTCTTTGGAAATAGTAAGACAGACAAACCCCTGACATAACTTATGAAGAAAGAGTATACAAATAAAATAGAAAATCAAAAAGAGGAATTAACAAAAGAAATAAAAATATCATGAACTACATAATTTTAAAACTGTGATAAAAATGATATACTAAAGAAAGTTTACATAAAAGTCAAAATTAGCAAAAAAAAAAAAAAAAAAAACACCAAATAAAACCTAACTTAGATAGACAATCATGGAAGAAATAGAAATGATAAAGAATTCTCCCACAAAAGAAACTAAAAACTGGCATGGCTTTTACAAGAGAATTCCCCCATAGTTTCAAGTAAGAATTAATCTCTGTCACAGACAATTTGTTTTGGAACAGAAAAAAGGCAAAAAACTATTGAAGTTATTTGACAGACGGAATATAACCTTGATTTTGAAGCTGGATAAGCAGCAGAAGAAAATTATGTCAAATTTACTCATAAACACAAATGTAAAAATCCTAAATATTAAATGTAATATTATATTCAAACAAAACAAAATATATTATGTTCAAAAATGATTTATTCTAGAAATATAAGAATGATTTACCATTAGACAAATCTATTAATTTAATTCAAGCTCCTTAATGGACGAAAGAAAAATCTCAGAAAACTCAGGAGATACAAAGGAACTTGTATCATATATTAAAACACCTATCACAGAAATCACAGAAACAAAGAACCTTTAATGTCTTTCTAGAACAAGAACAAAAATATCTGCTATCAGGGACACTGTTAGAGTGCTAAAGGTCCCTGGCTATGCATTTAGACAACAAAATGAAACACAAATTATAAGGTTAAAAAGAAAGAGACAGAATTGAAATTTTACAGATGATATAATAATCTATACAGTAAAACCAGAGGAATCAACAAACCATTAGAAAGCATGCTAAAACTCAGAATGAGATTTCAAATAGGGTCCACATATAAGATGAACATGAAAACTAAAGGTTTACTGACTCAGCAGTAAGCAAGTAGAAAATATTATACCAAATACTAATCATATAACAAAAATATTATAAAGCATTTATGAATTAATCTACTAAATAGTACACAAGACCTCTATGAAAAAATTTAAACCCTTTATGAAAAGACCTAATGATATTTAAATAAAGAAATGCAGCTGGGCAGGATGGAGCTCTCCTATAGTCCTAGCTTCTTGGAATAATAAGGTGGGATGCAGGAGTTTGAGGCTTTAGTGTGCCATGACTGTGCCTGTGAATAGCCTTTGCACTCCATCCTGGGCAACATAATGAAAACCTACCTTTTGAAAGAAAGGAAAAAAAGAAGAAAGGAAAGGAAAGAAGGAAGGAAGGAGAAGAGAAGGGAGGGAGAGAAGAGAGGGGAGGGAGTGAAGGGAGGAAGGAAGGGAAGGAAGAAAGATCCAGCGTTTTCATACATAAAGGATATAATAAAGAACTTTATTCTCTCCTAAATTTACCATAAAATCCAATCCAATTCTAATATTCAAAATCCCAGGCAAAGTTTTTGAGGCACTTAACAAGTACATTTTAAAAATTCATATGAAAGAAAAAAACCCATAAGTAGCTAAGTGGATTTTAAAAAGGAAAATAGGAGAAGCACCCAATATTTAGAACATATATTATAAAGCCACAATAATAAAGAGCATGGTACTAGAGCAGAAAGGTAAAATGAGGTAAAAAAAGAAAAAAAAAGCAATAGTAGATCCCCATTAGATATCTAGTTCATGATAGATGTGACATCATAACATAGGGAAAGGAGAATTTGTAATGACTTTGCTAGGACCCACATTCTCTCACACAGATTCTTTCTAGTTTTTTGTCAAATCCATACAAGCCATGACATTACCATTTTTAAATCTCTACCATATTAATGAGACAATTTAACTGCCTTATTTCCTTTCCCTTACTTCTACTGCATTGCAGGAAAGCCTACTGAAAAACCTATCCCTTGGAGGGTTTTTCCTTTTGAAGGCTTCTTTTTGAATTTTGGTTTTGTTTTAAATAAAAAGATATGCTAATTCACTGATATTTTCTCTAGACTGCATAAAAGAATTTTTATACCAGGGAAACAGACAATAGTCAAAGTAAAAAAACAAAGAGAAAAACAAAAGATACTTTGTCTTAAACCTAATCTTAAAACATAAAAATAGAACGTAAAGTGATAAAAATATATATAATGGTTAATATATATGAAGGGCATTAATAATGCTGGGAAAAAGGCATTACAATATCAACAGATTAAATTATTAACAGATATTATACTTACTGAAGTATCAGAGTAACCAATCGAATAGCTTCCACAGCAACATCATATTCTTTATCAAGTGTCATTGATACAATGCGATCCTGAAAATAAAGTTGTAAAACAAACTATGAATAGAAAATAAGTTGGGGCAGGTACCTAAGGTAATGTATTCTGAGACATATATGAAACACTAATGATAGGTTAAATAAAAAGCTTTACTCTTAAAACTATATTATCATAGTCCTACTCACACAAAGGGGGTGTTAGGACAAGTGATTGTAATGTAAAATCTTTATCCTTAACTGGCATTCCCTAACACTGTGACAGGTAAACTTTAACTTACAAAATTAATATACTTATAAAAAGCTGTATATAAAGAAAATTTTATTTCAAGCAGAAGAGCCTTCTTTCAAAGGCAATAAATAAGAACTCATGTTGGTAATATCTTTCGTAAAGCAGAGATTAATTCATCTATTTCATATGGGTTTACTTAAAGAATATGAACTAAACACTTGTTACAGTAAAGTCATTTGCTAAACTAGCTGTAACTACCACTTATAAAGTAAAAAATAAAATAAACTCATCATTCTTGATGCTTACCTTGAATCGGTTAGTGAATAGCTCCAATTTGGGGAATAATTCTCTGTTGGTATACAGACTCTGTAGAGCTTTTAGACACTTTAGCCTGACTTCCCCTTGCTTCAGAAATACAAATAAAGACACAACAGGAACGGTCAATTCCATGCCACAAGGGTTAAAACAATTTTTAAGTTTATATGAAGACTAACATAAATTTTAGCTTAACCATTCAACTTACTTCATACTGTAATTCAACATAGGATAGGATTTAGCAATTGTACAGGCTATGTTGCACTTATATTTAATAAAAATTCACTAAAAACCCCTAATTACTTTAGAATAAGCTTCATCTATCTCAAACATTTATCAACTCTGACTTATCATGCAGTATATCCCACATTATCCCATGGCACTTGGAATTTTTAACCTATGATTATAATTAGAGAAAGGTATGCTCATTTGCTCTTTATGTAATTACTGAATAATCCCGCAGAAAAACTTAATTTCATATTAAAGGATCATCATTTATTCATGCAACAAATATTTACTGGATGCCATTTACATTCCAAGGAGAGCAGTTAGGAAAACAGAAATAGCAGAGTCTTTAAAATAGAGGCAACACAATAAATTGAAGAGTCCTTAGGGTGCTATTTATTAGTGGAGCATCTTTAAGTCATTAACTTGGAGTAGAGGATGTTGGTGTTCAAAGTACATTCAGAATCATCTAGAAATCTAGCCAACTCTCTCAAAGGCTTCAAAGGAGACTTAAGTTTCTATCCCCCAAAAGAAGCAATGTATAAACTTCTAAGTTCTGGAATCAGACAAAACTAGATTTTCTTTCCAGTTTTACATAGTTTATTAGCTACATGTAAGATGGAAAGTATATTAATCACTCTGATACTCAGGTTTCTCACTTATAAAATTGTTGTAGGGATTAGATGCAGAGGTATGCTGGTAAAAGTTTTAACAATCAGCTCTGAGGAATTGGGCCCTGAATTGCTACATTTGCAGATTTCTGCAATGTAAATTGTCCCTTCATGGCTAATATCAAACTACCAATGATATGTCACTGAACTCGTTTATGAAGAGATATACATAACCACTCTATTGCAAGCTGATTCAAGCCAGCTCTAGCACACCATGAGATGTACTATGAGATGGTATGGTGTTTGCTGGTAAGTCTCTAGCACACAGGAAGAACCTGAGGTACATATGGCAGATGCTATTGCTGCCCCACACAGATTCCCTTTACTGGGTAATTCTTCAGCCTCTGCCTGTGTTGACTGCGACTGGTTCATATTTGCACCTTTCTCTGAAGAACTCACCATGGTTAACAAGAACCAACTAGAACACAGACCCCTAGGAGGTTATACTCCACTTTTCCTCTCCTATTCACTCTCTTCCCCTCTGTCAGGCTGAGGCCCATAGCCAGTGTAGAATGATAGAAGGGTAACACAGCCCAACCTCCTTGTGTCTGGACAGGATAACCTCAGAGGTGCAGCTTACTCTCCAAAGCTCCTTGTGAGATCAGTCTGAGACTAGACTTCTCCTGAAACCACATTTTTGTTAGTCTGTTTCCTGTTTTATAAAATTTTCTCACTTTCTTACATTGCTAATCCTGAGATTACAAACCTCAATCTATCACTAGCACAAAAATCCCTGACTCAGCCTTGGCATCTAAGGAATGTGACTTAAGACATCTGGTGCCAAGAGTGGTCCTAGGAGGCAGACTTCAACGAGATTCTGGGGGTGGATTACTTGAAGGCTGGATTGCTAGGAGGAAGGACCCAGGGGTGATAGGTGAAGTATTGATAGCTCCTGACATAGAATAGCAGTGTATAGGATTTTCACCTGTGGGTGAAAGTAGACGTGCATTAGCTTGCACAACATTGCTACATTTGAGGGAGCAGGGTGAATGGTAACTAAAAAACTGTGGAATCGAGTGGCTATTGCTAAGTGTCACTGAGATGCTAAAGAGAAAATGATAGGCTCAGGCTATTTAATCACCAGTTCATTAGCAAGTGTTGCCTCTTTGGTCACATTTAAAGAGACCCTTATCTCCTGCAGATAGGGAACTGTTCATACTGAAGACCAGGCCCAGTACTCAATTGTAAGAGTGGCAGAGTTTAAGAGACTCTGCAACTCAGGCAAGTTTTTCAAGTTTCCTATGCCAAAATCAGGGTCATGATAGAAGAGAAGTCTACAGGATATCTGGGTAGATGAAGCTGAGAATCTTGAACTACTAGTTTCCTCTCAATTTGTGGGTCTGAAAATATGAATCATACTGCCTTGTTAGGGCTAGCATGTTTCCTGCCAACCCTACCCTTTGCTAAAAGACTACACAGAAATCTCAAATGCAGCAGGTGCCCTAAGGATAACGCTAGTAGCCTTCCTCATGATATACACAGATCTCCCCTCCTGATCTCTAGACTAAGGTCAAACCTCAGCATAAACCACATGGAGAATTTGGTTCCTAGTAGCAGTAGAGATGTGAAGATCCCAGAATAGCAGACATAAGGTAGTATCACCTGACCGACAGATGCAAGAGGTGAGAGATAATAATAATAATGGGCAACAAGGTTAAAGGGCAGCCATGGGGATTTACGGAATTGGCTCACAGGATATGGCATTCCAGGAGGCAAGATATGTAAAGCAAATACAAATATTAATATTATGTAATATATATAATGAAAAGAGATGAACAATGGATGAGCAAAAGGCTGAGGACAGTTGTTCCAATGTACAGTCACAATCCCAAAACTAAGACAGCATGACTGACTTGTCTCCAACTGTAGACGTGAAACTAATGCCAAGAAAGATGAAATTACCTCATCTAAATCCACACAGTAAAGACAGGTAGAGCAAGGACATGAATTGAGTTTTATCTTCACTTTGTCCAGTGATGTTTACCAATCAACCACCTCTCCTCACAAGCCTTGGTTCTTCACCTATAATGTACACTTGCCTACACTACAGGAACTTAACAATTAAATAAGGTGTTATCCATGAAAGCATTTTAGAAAACTGTAAAATATATTATAGTTACAATGAAAACTCCAATTGCCCTTTTGGTAGCTGTTCTACTCTGGGGCTCTACTATACTCTGAAGCAATTTTTATTACAGTACCTAAGTGCTTTATTGTTTCCACATTACGAAAAGCCTTGCTCAAATCTAAAGGCTGTTTCACACAGTGTCTAAGGCGTATTAGCTGATCAATGAACATTTGAGTGAATGACTATATAAACTGTTTTTAAAATTAAAAATATTTTTAAATTGAGACAGGGTATGACTCTGTTTCCTGGGTTAGAGTACAGTGGTATGATCATAGCTCATTGCAACCTCAAACTCCTTGGCTCAAATGATCCTCCTGCCTCAGCCTCCTGAGCAGCTGGGACTCCAGGCATACACCACCACTCCTGGTTGATTTTTCTATTTTTTGTAGAGGTGGGGTCTCATTCTTGCTCAGGTTGGTCTTGACCTTCTGACCTCAAGCAATGCTCCCCTCGTCCCCCGGCCTTCCACAGTGTTAAGACTACAGGCATGAGCCACTGCTCCCAGCCAAATGCTAACTTATTAACATGCACATGTACATTATGAAGACTTAGATGAGAATAAGGTGAAAGAGTTAAAATGAACCAAATTTAGGAGGGTGTCAAAAAGTGGGTGTGTTTTTATGTGGCGGGATGAAGGAAGTAGAGAGAAGGAATAGTGTTGAGAGGCACAGAGTTATATAGATTTTTGGTGAATTTAAGAAAAATAGAGTATGGGATGAGTCAACACAAAGAGGAAGAAATGGGGTGGGGTAACTGTGAAAGCATCACAAAGATTTTGATATGGGGAACCAAGCATATGCAAGAAAGTATAAGAAGAATTGTGCAAACAAGGTAAAAGCAAAAGCAGTATGGAACAGAGTTGACGAACTTCAATGCCCACAGAAAGGCAATCTGGTGTCATGAATATAAATCCCAAAAGAAATTAAGATATTTAGCTCAGAACACAGAGACTACCATTGCTGTATTTAAATTAGGCCTAGTCTGTATCACCCTGAAGAACAGAATTAAAACCAGTGGGTAGAGAACTTAGAGAACAACCATTTTAGTTGTTAGAGTTTATCTTCCTATTGCCCAAAACTTATAACTTATATTTTTAAAAAGCATTTATTTTATTTATGAAGGTAGACTAGGTTATAACCTCTAAAATTCTAAAATAAAAGACATAAGTTAAAATTCTAAAATCAGTTCATTTTCAGTTCATTCAGTTTTATCAGTTCATTTGAAAGAGGCAAAGAATGAGTCTGAAGGCAGAGGTCATAGCCTATAGAGAGCGTGGTTCCAACTAGACAACTAAAATAAGAGAAGGCAAATGACTATAGTTCTAAGACAAAAAAAGGTACAAAAAGATTATAATGGGAATGACCAAAAAAAAAGTTTAGAAGAGATTAGTTAATATACCCTTTTCTGAATAAAGTTATTAGAGTTAAGAGAGGTTCATAATATTATTTCACTGAATACAGTACTTATGATTTTATCAACTATGTACAAGGGAAACCTATCTCTGCCTTTATCTAAAAGAGGATTTTTACAATTTAGTGGTATTTTTTTATCTATGATTGTTTGTGTTTTGGTAAGCCACATCAAATCAGTGTTTTTCCCAGAATTTAAGGTCATACATGAAGTTCTGTTAAAACTGGTAACTGTTATATAAATTCAGAAGACTATTCTATTAAGCAATGGGGGAAAAACTGGGATGGCAGTGGTAGAGAATAAAAACGTAGGACTTTAAATCCATGCCTACTAAAAAGATTGTCTTGTTGAATTTAGGAGTGTGTGTGTGTGCAAGAGGGTGCACTGTATAATTCTATATTCTTTCACACTATAATAAAATCTAATTGGATCAACCTGAGATGTGGCTTAGATGCACAAGTCCCAATTCTCTACATGAGGATTAGACAAATCCTGATGGAATCTGGCTTCAGAGTTATCACTGTAGAGAAAAGAACATGAATTGGTAGGGAAGATAGATACTCAAAAAAATTAACTATATGCTAATAGGATTCTCCTTAAAATGAGGTTGGGTGGAGAAGAATCTCTTTTTATCAGCAACTAAACATTGATAATTGCATAGTTGAGCAACCAACTATAGTGATGATCTCCCTACACTCTGACCTCTTATAGCAAAACTGGCCTGTACAAAAAAAAAAAAAAAATCCAAGTCCGAACACCAAAAAAAAAAGGCCTATAAAATTCCCTTGGGACCTTTAATTATAATTTATGTAATTTTGTGGTTTTCAAACCTTTCATAAAACTTAGCATAATTCTATATAAAAAGTAAAAGCTATACATGCTGACAGTAGTGATAAGATAGAAAATGAGTCTTGAAACACTACTAAAGTTGTCTTTAAAATCTAACAATATAATTGCATTAAAAATATGCTTTCTAATAGCTATGATACCTTTTTCTCCCCTAAGAGATAGGGTCTTACTCTGTTATCCAGGCTGGAGTATAGTGGCGTGATCATAGCTTACTGCAGTCTCAAACTCCTGAGCTCAAGTTATCCTCTTTGCTTCAGCCTCCCAGGGAGCTAGGACTATAGGCGTATGCCACCATGCCCAGCTCATTTTTCTTCTTTCCTTCTTTTTTTTTTTTTTTAAAGATAGGGTCTTGCTGTGTTGCCCAGGCTGGTTTTGAACTACTGGCCTCAAGCAATCGTCCCACCTTGGCCTCCCTGAGTGCTGGGATTACAGGTGTGAGCCACTACGCCAGGCCAGCTATGATACTTTGAATAGTTCAAACGGAATATAACAATTTAAAATAAATTGTTATCAGATCTCTATATTTAGGAATATCTGGCAGTTCAAGTTAAAGAATATTGGGTCATTTTACATAAAAAATTCCAATAATTTATCACTCCTACCCTTGGTTATTGTGAAGATTACTTATTTAGGACTTGATGTGGGATTCCTTTTAAGGTCAAAGCCTTTTCTAAGAGGTTAGAGGTTTAAAATGTTTTCAGATCCAATATTCTAGAATCGAACAAATATATTCAACTCTGATAAAACACCCTAGTGTGATATGACCATAGAAAATTCAAAGCAAGAAAGCTTATTTAGATTTTATATCTTAAGAGAAATAATCTCCTTCAATTCAAAACTAGAAAAAGAATATAACTATCTTCTTAGGACACTATATTTTCTTAAATCCTTAAGATATACCAGGTTGTTAATCTTCAAGACAGCATTGTAACCAAATAAGACAGGGTCTTCACACACGGGCCAATGTCTAAAGCTTCATCACAGTCATTAAGTAAATAGTTATTCAGTTGCATCATCTTTAATATCTATATTATTACAATTCTTGAAAAATCAACTATTCGTTTTGATTTCTAGTATTCCAATATTGAGACAAGCATATTTTCCATCAGAGTTACTTAGAACAGGGTAACTTACCCTGTCATGAAGAGTCCAGCCAACATATTTTAGGTAACTGTCATTTAGGAAGGCATCACTATACATTTTCATCCATACTCCAATTTCTTCAATACAAATGGCTCTAATCTCAGCAATAGCATCACTAGAAGAGAAGGGGGAAAAAAAAAAAGACAAATCTTTGATTAATATACAAAGGTAGAATGTATTCATACTCGCTTTCAACAAGCAAAATGTTATTTCTAATGCTATATTTGTATGTGCATTCTCAAAGTCCTCCAACATGAATGAATACCTTCTGTTTTTTATGTCTTCTATAAAATAAAACTAACAAATATCAAACTGAAAGAAAAGCTTCTCCACAATACTTTATTTGGGCCCAACAGCTCTATTTTTATTAGGCTAAGCAATGACATTTGGAGCTTTCTGAGAGCCTCACAACTATTACCAAGCCAATAAACATGTTAAACCTTCTGAGGACACCAGAGTACCAACATCCAAGTACAGAATAATGTAGAGCTCAAAAACTGTTTCTCCAAAGAACTGTGATATCTTATAAGCTAGCACACATCTAGTGAATTAAAAGAAAAAAAAAACCACTTTCATCACTAAATGATTTATTTTTTAGGCTGAAGCAAAGGGAAAAATAATCCACCTTAAGTCACAAGGGGAACAATCTTGGTGACTATACTGTCAAGTGGTTGGCAGAACAATCCCAAAAGTCAAGATTCTGGCTCAATGCCTAGATAGCTTTTCACCTCATCCAATATAACCCTCCTGGGATGATTTTCCTACTCTAAGATCTGTGAATTATGAACAAATACAATGTTAATACCTTTATCTTATCTTTCACCATGTTATTAGCCCTACCTTTAAGAAAAACATGTGAAGTGTAATATGATAAATCCTAATTTTTTTTCTAGATCAATTTTCAAGGCTTCTGATTTACCACACACACATAATTTAAAGTTTTAAGTAATTTTAACTCTCCAATTTATAGGCATTGCTTAAGAATAAAAATGTGAGAAACATTTTCTTTCCAAGCCACAGTGCCAATTATGATCGTTAATGTTCCTACATTTTTTGCTAATATCTTTTTCTCATGGAGAGGTTCTATAGCATAGTGGCTAATAAATAATACAGGCTCTGGAGCAAGACATTCTGAGTTTAAATCCTGGTTCTGCTATTTACTAGCTGTGTGACCCGGGCAAGTTATTTCCTTCTTTCTTAGGTTTCCTCCTATCTAAATAGTGATAATAACAGTACTTAGCTCACAGTTACTATGAGGATGAAATTAATTAATACAAGAAAAATACTTAGAATTGTGTCTAGCACCTACTAAACCTTCCATAAATGTTGACTATTCTTTTATTTAAGTTTCATCAATCTAGACATTTATAGACAATACAGTATAAAAAGCAGTTCTACTACAAACTTTGAGAAGATTTTCCTAGACCTTTATGATACTGAACATGAATGGCACAAATATCCACCAAAAATTTCAGACATAAAAAGGTAGAGAGGACAACATAACAACTGTGTATCCACGGCTCAGCTAAGAATATAATATAGTTAAAACTTCCTATATACCTCTTAATGATGCATCTCCTTCCCCAAGAGTAAATGACTATCCTTGATTCAGTGAATATCATTCCTATCTGTATCTTTATGTTTTAACTTCATTTGTATTATTTACATATTTTGAACTCCACATAAACATTATCCTGTAGGTATTCTACAACTTGCTTTTTTCACAAACCATGCTTTATGATTTATGCATACTGATTTACATTATCTTCAATATATTAATTTTAGCTGATGTACTGTGTTCTTTTCTATGAATATGTTACAAATTACTTATACATTCTCTCATTAATGGACATTTAGGGTTGTTTCCAAGTTTTAGCTTTTATTAACAATGATTCCATGAACATTTTTGTATGTATCTCCTTGTGCACATGTGTGAGAGCTTCCCTAGAGCACTGTTTTGCAAATAGTACATCACTACTCATTAGTATATTATGAAATAAATTTAGTGAGTGGCAACAAATTCATAAAAGTATATATGATAGAAAATACCAAAAGGTTCCACAAGTAGCAAGGCAGGGAAGTATTCTTTCTTAAAACTACTGTGGGCCGGGCGCGTTGGCTCACACCTGTAATCCTAGCTCTCTGGGAGGCCGAGGCGGGCGGATTGTTTGAGTTCAGGAGTTCGAAACCAGCCTGAGCAAGAGCGAGA